CCGAGTAACTTCAAAGACTTTCCTCGAGTGACTGTATATGGTCCTAAGTTAAAGCAAAATGTTTAAAGAACAATGTGTTATTTTTTTTATTATTATTCCCTACGTAACCCTTTTTGACAGGAGCTTCTACCCTATGTCCCTTTTGTGTAGTGCTCTGCATGCCATTTAGATTTTTTGGCAGTTAGGTGCCACACTCTAGGGTGCTAATACCATGCTAGTTTCTTGTGTTCCCTCCGGTGTGGTACAGTGTTTGCTGCCCGGGGAGAGTAGGGAGGTGCTGCTGGGCGAGGAGGAAGGGCGTGCAGGCCTGGCTGGGAAGACAGCTAGTGGGAGAGATGTGCCTATTTTTCGTGGTGCTGCCCCTGCGTTCTCTAGCTAAAGAAAGACAAAATGAATCCATCTTTTTCTGTTTGCCTTGGGATCAGGTTTGGATTCTTATGATAGAATCCAAGAATATGTTGTTAATCTCTGCAGCACTGGCATTAGTGAAAATTCCCTTGGGACTTTGGCATCTGGTCTTCTCTTTATTTTCCAACACAGTTGCCAGTTTTCATCTCTTTGTAATTCTTCATGAGTTTTATAATGGAAATTGGAATAAAGACATATTAGGCCCTGCTGGCTTGCCTAGATACTAACCCAGCAGTCCCACCAATTATTTTACAGTAACAAATAGGAAAAAATTATATTAAGGACACGATGCCATTATTTTTTATAATATCACTTATTTCTTAAGTAGCCTACTTGAAATTTTTAATAGGATTCCTTAATAAAAACGTATATGAAAAATTCTCTCCTCATATTTAAGTCTATATCAAATGAATTTCCTCATCAAATGTAGTAAAAATTTTATCATTTCCGTGCCTAAACTCTTTATTTGTGGTAATATTTGCATGTTAAAATGGCTTTTCAAGAAGCATGGGATTTACACAAACCCAATATTACCCACACCCACATAGCAAATAACATAAGCACTGTAAGGGGTTTATTTCACTAGTTTAATGGTGAAAATGTGAACACTATGCTTATATCGGGTTCAAATCCTGTCTCCTCAATTGATCTTTTGTGTGATCTCGGACAAGTTACTTGTTATCTCTAAGCATCATTTTCCTCGTGTGTAAAATGTACTAGAGGTAGTACCTGCCTCATAGGCACTTGCGTGAGGATTTAGTGAAAGAATATGTATAAAACACTTAACACAGTGCCCAGAACATAGTGACAACACTGTCGTTTGAAGTGAAGATGGTAACAATGAATGATAAAGATACTTACAAAGGGTTAACAGGATGGATGTTACCCTGTAGGTATTTGTTGGATTTTTAAAATTAATAACTTTTTTTTAGTCAAAAATTTATCTCAGAAGATATTGCCCTGGCTATTTCTATTTCTAGAAATGTGATACTGCCATACAGGGTGTGTCTTTTTATGACAGATGGTCAGCAGCTCGTGGTAAAAGAAGTATGGAATGTAATAGCATTTCACTTATTTATGGGAGATGTTTCACTGCCCCACCCTTCAACTAGTTGGAAAATAAAAGTCAAAAACTGGAAACTCTATTTATAAATGGACAGTGCTGTGATCTCAGTGTCTGAAACTGTAGACTTTTAGAAATAGCATATTGGAAACTAGTCACTGATCAGTTTCTCTTTGTCCTGTTGTTTTTAAAATTAATTCAGAAAATATGAAATTTGAGGTAAATTAAAATGGAATACTGAAACGTACCAGTCTTTAAGACAAGAGGATGGAGAGAAACTGTGAACTCTTATAGAGATATTTAAAGTCAACAGAAATATTTATTAATGGTGCCTTAATAATAAGCTAGATCAGTAAAAATATAATACATTCAAGGAAATACTGAGGCCATGTCTACATTTCACTAAGGAGACAATTTAGCATAGTGATTAGGGGTGGGAAGTTCGGGAGTCAGTCTGCCTGAGTTCCAAACCCAATCTAGCACCTGCTATACCACACGATCTTATAACTCACTCACTGCAGTGTGCCAAGGTTGTGTCTATATTATAATGTCAAGAATTAAATGAAATCATACATGTAAAGCATTTAAAATGGTATATGGCACATAATAAATGCTCTATAAATGCTAGCCACTATTATTCTAACTAGCCTAGCCCCAAAGCCCCAGATGACTCCAGTTTGATTTTGTGGACATATGTGAAACATGCCTATGTCCCTGTTGTAGAGGTAGGTCTCTGTCATTGAGTGGGATTGTGAACTGACTGCCTTAGCCATCAGCGTCTGCTGGGGCAGGAGGTGAGCACTGTGCAACAAGGATCCTTGAAAGGTCCCATAGGTGCCTACCTTATGGGAGCTGGAGAGCTCCTTTGTTCCTATCAACCTGGAGCCCAAACAGTTGCCATAATAAAAAATCACCCCATACCTCGGTTCACCTAAAAACAAGGAACTTGTGTGATTACTGAAAATTCACTTACTATAAACATCATCAGTTGTTACTCAGAGGTTTACATTTCACAGGTGGAATCAACAGTCTGGTGACGATAGTGTTGCTTATACGGCTACACTGTGCCATCTGCCAAAATCGAAATATAAGGAAACTTCCTAGATAACAGATTGCAACATATCTTTTTTCTATGCAGTGCATGATGAGGAGACTGTGTGGCTTAGCCACGTTTGCCACCGATACTTTTCTAAAAAGAGGCTCTCACATGGGAGAGAGTATCATAACATGTCTTAGAAATTAAAGTTATAGCTACATCAATGTATTGCGTAAGGAGAACTCTTGCTAGCAAGAAGAATGGATAGGAATATTAATGTCCATTGTATCTACATATCATTCTTGTATATGCATCTCAGGTTGTAGTCTTATGTGTGTGGTTATATTTTTTTCAAGTCTGCAGAGTCCGAATCTGCATTTTGCAATGAAAGTTGTTTTTAAGCGACCATCTTGTTCTGCAGTTAACATATCCCAGGCACTGTGCTAAGTGCTTTTACATATGTTGCCTCATTTAATTTTCATAGTAACCCTGAAGTCGGTACTTTTATCCACATTCTGCTAGTGAGAAAAACATGGTTCAAGTTTGTATAGCCAGTAATTTGTGGAGTTGGATGCAAACTCTGGAAGGCTATGTTCTTTTTTGTTTTTTTATCCTCACCCGAGGACATTTTTCCAATTTTTGTACAGATAGAGTGGGAGGGATAGAGAGGGAGAGAGAGAGAGAGGGAGAAACATCGATGTGAAAGGGACACATCGAGTGGCTGCCACCCGCACGACCAACCAGGGCCGGGGACAAACTGCAACCAAAGTACGTGCCCTTAGCGGGAACCGAACCCGGGTCTCTCCGGACCGCAGGCTGACACTCTAACCGCTGAGCCAAACCAGCCAGGGCTGGAAGGCTATGTTCTTAAAGACAATGTTATTCTGCATATGAAAGTGAGGCCTTCAGAACTGCTCAGAAGTAAGACCATAAACTATTGAAGCAATTGACATTGTCCACTTTCTAGTGCTTTGGTTGTATGGAAATGAAACTTTGGAATAATGTACAAAAGAATAATGAAATACTTCAGTAATTGTAGCATTATCTATAAATAACACATAGAAACATAGAGGAGATAGAAGCTAACACATGTTGTAATATAGCAGTAATCAATCCCATAAGCATTTTATGAGTTTGATGAGGCCACTATTTATTCTGTAAGATTGTGGTGATCACACAGTTGGTAATGGCTAAAAACTGTATTATGAACATACATACCACATTTTTTTATTCAATCCACTTTGTTACACATATGTTTGAGGAAGAAATTTTGTCATATGCTAAAACTTATTCTGCAAGTGATACTGTCAAGAAAGCAAAAAGATAAGTCATAGAATTGGAGAAAATATTAAGAAATCATTCTTCTAGTAAGGGACTTGCATCCAGAAGGTAAAAACTAATGGTGATGGTGATTGAAGTTTTTGTTTTGTTTTTAATTAATTTAGTTTTGTTTTAATACTTCCTTACTTGGTAAATACAACGTTGCCAGTCACAACCCAGGTTTTTTGAAAAATTATGGTCCTTAGAATCCCAAACCACTGCTGTAGACAACTAGCTGTGAGTTTGGGGTGTGCATATTGGGTCATCTGAAAACATGGCCTCTTGGTTACCTCTTGGAGCCTTAACTAGTTAGTCAGATACGATACAAATCCCAGGGTGTTAATAGTACTTGGCAACTTTCTGTTGGATTATCAGGTTGTCTACAGTTCTCTCCCAGTGATTGAGATTGTATCTAATACCTTCCATGAGGCTAAGTACATACCAACAAAATGACCTGGATACTCCGTGCACACCCCACATTCATCTGATGATGTTTATGCTCCCACTTCTTTAACAATACTATTTTGAGAGTCACACAACCCATTATTTGGCCCATAATAACTTACCATGTGCCTTCCTCTTCTGTATCATGAGGGGGTTGGGCTAAGTGATCTTGTAGGTTGTGATTGTATTTGCATGTACCCTCTTTATATGTTAAAGAGGTATATATGTTTCACATGTATTTGTATTAAGTATAATCTCTAGCCATGTTCCCAATCTGGATATGAAAGACATTCATTTTTCTCACATAGGCTAATATTCAGAAGGCAGGTTGCATCTGTAATCCTGATGCTGCCACCTTGGCAGGTGCTCTTTCTTCATTTCACTGTGAGGGTTCAGTATGCACTTGCACAGGATGACTTGAGTTCTCAGTTTGCTGCTGTTTAAATACAGCCACATTGTATATTGCAAAAGATCACAAGGCTCATTTTTTAAAATATGCTTGACATTGAAGTTCTTAGGTAAATGTTCAGTCATTGTCATAATGTAGACAAATGATGACTACTTGAAGATAGATGCACCAGCCACAGAGTTTGGAGATCTCTGAATTCATGACAAAGTTGTTAACTGGCAAGTTTGCTATTTCCTACAAGTATAAGGATAGGAAGTATTAAAATCATCCATACCTATTTGAGAGAGGAAATTAATGTTTCCTAAAAAATTCTTTTCTAGTGAAGGAAGCCCATCCCCCAGAATGGAGCTGCTGCATAACATCGACCCAAACTTTGTGGACATTTCTCCATGTGAGTACCTTGTTCCTTGCTGCTCAATTAAATCTGTTTGGCTCACAGTTTTCTTACCTGGTGCGTCTCTAGCTTTGTTCTCTCTTTATCTGCTTGAATTTTCTAGAAGGGTAAACAGTTTTCCATGGCAACTGCTGTCCTGGTGTTGCTGTGGCTTTGGCACCACCAGGCCGAATTCTGTTCTCAGCTCTGCAACTTACTAACTGTATGACCTTTACGTTTTCACTTGCCATGCTTCATCTTTCCCATCTGTGAAAGGAGAGCCCATTGATCTCAGAGGCTCCTTGTCTCTGTGAATGTCATATTGTGTTAACCTGCTCTTACCTGAGACCTCCAGCCTTCTTCCAGAAAACTCAAGGTCAAATAAGCCATCATATCACCTGATCGAGCTGGCCAGGTGCTGCCCAGCACCTGCTGCATCTCATAGGCATGATTTACTGAGCAACAGAAGTAACATAGCATGATCCTGTCTACTGCCTAAATTAACCCGTAGGTAGCTCTACTCATTCTTCAGGGAAAGAAGCCATGTAATGCTCTCAGACCCCAACAGGTTGTAGCAGTCCTGTGTACTCCTGTGCTGGGGCCTTCGGGTTTGAGGCTGGAAAGCATTAGCTATTACACCCTTTGCCCAGTTTCCACTACAATGCCTCATCTTAAGACTGTCTTCAGAAACTAGTGCTCCTACATTTCCTTCGTTCACTTGGGTGCCCACATTCCCTCCTTTCTAAACAGAGTGCTGCCCCCTTCGTTCAGGCTCTTCTTACTTCTCTGTCCTCTCCAGTCTGTGCTGAAACCCACCACGAGGGTCCCTGCTCAGAGAAGGACCCCTTGCACCAGACACTCCTTGCCATCTTCTCGCCCTACTGGATGCTCGCCATTCCCAAGCATGCAGATCATCATACGTGTCTTAAATGTGCTTTTCCCTTTGCCTGAAACACCTTTCTCTTCCTCTCCACAACTGTTCCTCAGCCCTTAAGACCCAGCCCAAATGTCCCGTCTCTGTGACTGCTCTCCAGAAGCCCCAGAAGCAGCAGCCGTCCCTTCCTCTGTGCACCCCTCCGTAGGTGTCTCTGGCATTCATCAAGTTCTCCTGGTGCGCCTTCATTTCCCACTGAGCTGATAGCTCCGGGAAGTCACGGTCTATGGCGTCCACGTCTTTTCATCCTCGTAAGTTAACACAAAGGCCCAGAACTTAGTAGGCACTCAGTAATGACTACTTGACTGAGTGGAGGAGAGCTGGGATGGAACAGAGTCCAAAGTGGCAACATTTGACTTGGAAAGGATAGGCCCGAGACAGATAGGAATGGCTACATCAGGGAGACATTTCTGTTTCTACTGGAGTAACCTTACGTGAATGAGAGAGGCAAGGGCAGTTATATCTCCAGCATGGTAGCCGCTAGCCATGTGTGGCTATTGAACACTTGAAATATAGCTAATTATGGGTTGAAATGTGCCGTAAGTATAAAATACACATCAGACTTTGAAGACTTCTAATGAAAAAGTAAAATGGATCATAATATATATTTACCACTTATTAAAATGGCATACTTTGGATATGTTGAGTTAAATGTATTATTAATATGAATTTTACCTGTTTCTTTTTCCTTTTAATGTGGCTAATAGAAAAATTGTAATTACCTATGTATTTCTATTGGTCTGGAAGGATTATTCTAGAAGGTGCTAGGAAATGATTTTATCAGCTGCACCACAGAACCACAGACCCTGATAGTTACTGTGAGGCTACGAGGTCAGTGGTTGCTGAACCTTTCTCCGCCCAGCACCCCTAAGGGCTATGACACGTCAGTTTATTACCAGATCACTAGAGCAGCGATGGCCAGTCACAGCAGAATCTCTCCAGGTGTCCAGAGTTAAACAGGGGGAAGGCAGGAATGGTTTTTAAAACTACTAAGTAGCCCTGGCCAGTTTGGGTCAGTGGTTAGAGCATCGACCTGCGGTCCAGAGAGACCTGGGTTCGGTTCCCGCTAAGGGCACGTACCTCGGTTGCAGTTTGTCCCCAGCCCTGGTTGGCCATGCGGGTGGCAGCCACTCGGTGTGTCTCTTTCACATCGATGTTTCTCTCTCTCTCTCTCTCTCTCTCTCTGTTCTTTCTCTCCCTCCCACTCTATCTGAAAAAAAATGGAAAAATGTCCTCGGGTGAGGATAAAAAAAAAAAAAAAACTACTAAGTAGCCCTGGCCTGTTTGGCTCAGCGGTTAGAGCGTCGGTCCGCGGACCAATGAGACCCGAGTTTGATTCTGGCCAAGGGCACGTACCTCAGTTGCAGTTTATCCCTGGCCCTGGTCGGGGTCACACGGGAGGCAACCAGTCCATATGTCTCTCTCGCATCGATGTTTATCTCTCTCTCTCTTCCCCCCTCCTCCCCCTCCCTCCCTCCTAATCTGTCTAAAGATAAATTGAAAAATGTCCTTGGGTGAGGATAAAAAATAAATAATAAAATAAAACTTCTGAGTAATTTAATGCACTGCATAAACCCGGTATAGCACCCAGTGATGTGCTGAACATGCTGCCCACATTATAAGGTTGTAGACTGTCCTTACCCACTGAATCCCATCTATAAATGAAAAGCCTTAGGCCCCCTTCACTCACTAAGATACATTTTGTCTGGGCGTCAGAAACGGGAGCTTATGAACTCTATTCCTGTCACCTGGCCATAGCACTGCTTGCTGTGATTTTCGCACTTTTCCCCCAAGGGTCCCTAGCTCCAGTGTAAGCGTGGATTCAGGACGGAAATCAGAACAGAGAATCCTCTTAGTTTTGCCACCCATAGAATGGAAGGCCTTGAGAAAGTCCCTTCACTTTGCTTGGAGTCAGTTTCCCACATATTAAATGATGGACTTACTAAGGCCCTTTATTGCTCTCAAATTCAGGGAGGCTTTCTGGCCTCCTGCTCCACCGCCCCCTGCTTGGAGCCCACTCCAGGCCTTCCCAGGAGCCGGGGCCTCTTGCTCTGACTTTTGCGCTCAGTGAGGGACGACATCAGGTCTTGACACTGACACAGACCGCGGTCACTGTTTGTCCGCGACGACAGGGCAGCACAGGTGCTGTCCGAGCCTGTGGCGGCAGCGCGCCACCTCTGACCCCTGCGTGGGCAGCGCCGTGGGCCTTCCTCCCAGTGTTCATACTCATTTCGACCCACAGAGCAGCAGTTGGGAAAGGGGGCTGCCTTTGGGGCCTGCTCCTTCACAGGATGATGGTACAAGCCATTTCCTTTTCTGTGCAATTACTTTGTAGGGAAAAGATGTAAAACCAGCGATAGGAATATATGTATTTATAGGACAGCCAAGTCTGAAAATCATGGTCCTAGAATCTGTTTTTTTAATATGTTCTAGAGACTTTTGTGGAATAAAATTAGAAAGCAGCCGAGCTAGGTGTAAATTAAGGGTTGCCAGCTGAGTCAGTGTTAGCACAGAAACAGTTCCCTGCGTTCTAACGCCAGCACTCCCCCCCCCCCACCCCCCACCCCCCGTTCCGCGCATTTACTTACAGCAGAAGAGGGCAGTGCTCCACCTCCACCTTCCAAAGTCCCCCCATCCGGGTCCTCATCTGTGAAGGGCAAATTAAACGATGTCTGCAGTCCCTTCCAGCTTCAACATCCTGTGGGTCTCTATAAATGGGACCTTAAATGAGCAAAGCTGCTCCTCAGTTTCTCTCTCTCTTCTCCCTGCTTGGAAGGGCGCGCTCATTAACAAGCAGGGACGCAGCCCAGGCATGGCTGTAGTTGGTGGATATGAGTGAAAATGTCAGAAACATCGAAAGCGCTAGAGCTATTTGGAATAGTACATGATTTTGTTACTACTATATCCTGCCCTCCTTTCCGATCCCTCTTCTAAAACAACTTTTCCATCTGCTTTCTCTGTTTCATGGGTCTTGTTGGGTATGTGCCCCCTCTTGTCATGAATTACAGGACTAGACACCAGACGTTCCCTAGGGAAGCCCTGCCTTCTAAGTACTACAGATCCCCTCCCAGGCCTATGTCTTGGATTTAGCAGCGACACCCCTTCCCTTACTCTAAGAGTATCTGGTACTCCCAGAGGCTCTTCTGCAGGCTTTTCTTAATTTTTTTTCTTTATTGATTTTTTGAGGGGGGGGGGGTGAGAGACAGAGAAACATTGATTTGGCGCCTCCTGCATGCCCCCCACTGGGGATCTGGACCACAACCTGGGCATGGGCCCTGACCGGGAATCGAAACTGGCGACCTCTTGGTGCACGGGCCGATGCTCGACCACTGAGCCACACGGCAGGCATCTTCATGCAGGTTTTCCACAGCCGCTTAGCCTCGGAAGGTTGTAGCTGGCATCCTATGAGTCCTCTTTCTCCTTACCAGTAAAAGCAATAGAATGTGCATGTTCACTAAAAAGAAAAGGATACGGCCCGGCCTTTTTCTCTTCCCTCCTTCCTGGGAACAGATCCTATCCTTGCCCTCCTTCAGTCACCACCATCTTCCTTTGCTTCTCTGATCCTTCTCACGGCCAGTTCACATTCCTACCTCTCCATGAAGTTCTTCTCCTTGATCCCTCCAAATCTGAGTCCCTTGAGATTATTTACGTCCCGTATCTTTAAATTTGTTCTTTCTAGCAGGCTGACCTAGTGTCTCTCTCCAGCATACAGGGTGGGCCGTGAAGGAAACCTGTGAGATGGCCGAGGGACGGGATGGTACCATTTAAGCTGATTTGTGAGGAAGCCTGGAAACATCCAGTGTGGTGGGGAGCACCACGCCGTGTTCCCACGCTAGGCCCGAGATCCTGCAGGTGCGCGTTCAGCTGCAGTCCCCGTACCTCCCCTAGTTCTAGCTGGCATGCCTCAGACCAGGAGGAAAAATCATTGCAAAGGCATTAGATCAACCCGCAGGCCTCAGGCTTGATCTGGGCTGTCCTGGGGTAATGGCCATGCCCCATCTGCAACCACAACCCACCTTGGCAGTCAGATGGGGCATTCTGCGCACCATTAGCATTCTCACGTACACCTGCTGGTGGAACGCAC